TGCATTTGGGGTGGCTTCAGGCAAATTCCTTGGCTTCATGATCAGCCAGAGGGGTATTGAGGCCAATCCAGAGAAGATCAAGGCCATATTAGACATGGCAATACCCAAGACGATCAAGGACATCCAGAACCTTACCGGGCGTGTCGCAGCCCTGACTAGATTCGTCTCCAAGGCCACTGATCGCTGCGCCCCCTTCTTCAAGGCCCTTAAGGGTAGCAAGCGGAGTATTACCTTGACCGCTGAGTGCGACAAAGCTTTCAATGAGCTGAAGGCGTATATGAGCCGGGCGCCCTTATTGTCAACACCTGAGTCTGGAGACATCCTCATGATCTATCTCTCCGTCTCGGCCACAGCAGTCAGTTCTGTGCTCATCCAGACAAAGAACGTAGGCCGTGGCTGACTTTATATCTGAATTCACCGAACCCCATGCCGTGGCCAGTCCACAGATTACGATGGAGCCCACTCCTACCCCGAGCCAGGTCCACGTCGCCAGCAACGGCACCTTAGACTTGACACAGCCCTTATGGACTTTGTACGTGGATGGCTCTTCCAACGCCCAGGGATGCGGAGCTGGCCTTGTTCTCATCTCTCCAGACAAGGCTGTCCTTGAGTACGCCATTCGCTTCCAATTCCACGCCTCCAACAATGAGGCCGAATACGAAGCACTCTTAGCTGGCCTCCGGTTAGCCAAGGAGATCGGCGCTAGGAAAATTCAGATTTTCAGCGACTCACAGCTCGTTGTCCACCAAGTCAACCAGGACTTCACTGCCAAGGACGTGTCCATGACAGCCTACCTCCAACATACCCGCCATTTGCTTACAACCTTCAACGCTTATTTCATAAGCCAGGTACCACGCTCGGAGAATAGCCATGCCGATGCCCTAGCTAGACTAGCCTCCGCCATAGAGCAGGGCCTTGGCCGTAATATCCACATGGAAATCTTGGATCAGCCAAGCACACGGGCACCACTCATCTGCGCCATCGATCACAGCCCAACATGGATGGACCCCATCCTCCAATTTGTGCAGAACCAGACGCTACTCGCTGACCCTGGTGAAGCGCGGCGTGTTCGTTATCGCTCTGCCTGATATTTGATCATTAATGGCGCCCTATACAAGCGCGGATTCAGCTTACCGTATCTTCGATGCCTAACCCCAGAGGAAGGCCACTACATCCTCCGGGAAATCCACGAAGGCATCTGTGGTAGTCATTCAGGCACCCGCTCACTAGCGCATAAGGCCATTAGGCAAGGATACTTCTGGCCCTCACTTCACACTGATGCCCGAGCCTTCACCCAGAAGTGCGACAAGTGTCAGCGATTTGCCAATATCCCTCAACTCCCAGCTAAACCTTTAACAACCATGGTCAGTCCTTGGCCATTCGCCTAGTGGGGACTTGACCTCATTGGACCTATGCCCGAGGGAAAGGCCAGGTCAAGTACGTAGTCGTGGCCGTCGACTACTTCACTAAGTGGGTTGAAGCTGAGGCCCTAGCCACCATCACTTGGGCCTTTCGTTTGGCAAAAGATCGTTTGCCGCTTCGGCATCCCCAACGCCATCGTCACGGACAACGGTCGGCAATTTGACAACGCAAAATTTAGGCAATTTTGTTCCAACATCAAGATTAAACTTTTCTTCGCTTCTCCGGCCCATCCTCAGTCTAATGGCCAGGTCGAAGCCGTGAACAAAATTATCAAGAAGACCCTGAAGACCAAGCTTGACAAAGCCAAGGGTTGCTGGCCGGAGCTACTCCCAGAGGTTCTTTGGGCTTACCGCACCACCTTTCGTACCTCAACGAGAGAAACACCATTCTCTCTTTCCTTTGGTACCGAAGCCGTGGCACCAGTGGAGATTGGCCAGCCTACATACCGAACCTCCACGTACGAGGCGGAAGCCAATAACGAGCAGTTGGCCCTCAGCCTCGACTTCATTGACGAGCTTCGTGACCAGTACAACATGCGCAACGTCGCGTACAAACAGCGTATTGCCAAGTACTACAACTCCAGAGTTAAACATCGAGCTTTCACTACTGGGGACTGGGTCATACGCAAGGTTTCCTAAGCCACTAAAAATACTAACGAGGGTACCCTGGGCCCTACGTGGGAAGGTCCATATGAGATCACCAAGGTTTGCCGCCCCAGGACTTATCAGCTTCGGGATCACAAGGGCAAAACGTTGCCTCACCCTTGGAACACTGACCATCTCAAGTACTACTACAAGTAAACATACCTAGACCCTAGGACATTATGTTTTCTTATACTTCGGTCTTGAGCCTTGACTCAAACCCACCATTGTACTTTCTGCCCTTCGGCACCCATCTAATAGAAGCACCCAATTGGGCCCCATTTCTACTCATTCATACTTCAGAAGTTGGCAGAATGCATAAAGCAAAAGGGTACCAGGCTATCATAAAAATCAAGGCAACCCTGTCTTAGGGCAGGGCAATATCCATACATGTCCAAAGACTACGTCTGAAATAACTGGGTACATCATCACAAAAAATATAAACAAGCCCTCAGGCATCAGCATGGTTGTCCGCCTCCTCCTCGGCAGCTGTGTCAGGATCCACGGTCGACTCCCCTCCGCTAGCATCGGCACCTCCCCGCGTCTCAGCCTCCGAAGGACTCGTGGCCTCGGCAGACGGAGTGGCCGCAAACAGTGACTCCCGACCGGAAGGAATGAGAGGGGGAACACCACTGGTGTCGAAGTTTATATCCAACTCTGGATTAAACCTCGCAACCAGCTTCTCCCATCCATACTGCTCCTCGACCATCGCGTCCAGCACAAGGCTCTTGAACCTGTCTGAGCCCTGATACTCCTCCACAGCCTCGGCACGAGCCACGCTCAGCTCCTCGGTCCTCCTCCTCTCATACTCGAGCCTAGCCTCCTCTATCGCCTCTAGCCGCCGGGGTGTCTCCTTTAGCTCCCGCTCCAGCCTCCCCACCTTCAGCTGCAACACATTCCTCTCCCGGATGGCAGCCTGAGCCTCGACGGTAGCAGCTTTGGCTGTCTCAGAATGACGTCTAGCCAAGTCCACCTCTCTCTCCGCCCTGGCTAAGGTGAGGTACATATCCCCAAAAGCCTGCAAGAAAGGTATGTTCATAAGCACATCATAATTGCACTGTTAGAGAGTCAAAGGCACAGGAATACTTACATTGGCGGCAGAGAGCACCGTCTTCTGGACCCGATCGGAGAAGTCCGTGGCCTTGGTCCGAGCGAGCTCCCCCGCATCAATCTTTACCCCAGTCAGGAAGGCGTTGACAAGAGGCACTTCCTGGCGATGCATGGCCAGGGTTACCTCCTTCGCCTCCCGTCGAACAGAGGTAAAGTCTATATCCTCGGTACCTGCAGGGAATAGCTCCTCCATCTCGAGCGGCAGCCTGGGCAGGGGATCCAGGTGGAATGGCGGCAGCACTGTTCCACCCATGATGTCATGGATCGACGACTCAAGTCCCCTCCGCTTCTTCTCCAGCTCCGCCAACAGCTCATCATCGTCCTGCCGAGGCCGCTTTCCAGCGGCTCGGGCTGCTGTCCCCTCGGCTGTACTGGGCGCCCCCTTTGCCTGCTTCTTGGCCCTATTGGCCCTATCTTTCTCTCTTCTCTCTTGCGTTGCCTCTCCTCCGGATCCACCACTACCTTCGGCGAATTCTCAACCACGGTCACCACCTTCTTCGGCACCTCAGCCACTGCAAAAACAAAACCGAAGCAAAGGTGAGCAAATATACAAAGACAAACATATAAAAAGGGAGGAACTGGGCCAATACTTACTTCCTTGAAGCAACCCCGACTATAGAAAAAGAGCTGGTGTCACAATATTCTTCAGCTCACGCGCTTCCTGGGGCACCTGTCTCCTCACCAGCTCTATCTCTTCCTCTTCCTCCCTGGACACTGGCCTACACTTCACAGAACCTGCACATGGACAAAGGCGTTAGTTTTCCCAAGCTTTGGACGACAATACATATTCATACCAACACATTCAACACAAAGACAGGAGTTATAACCAAAGACCTATAGATTGAAAGTGGGTAGGCACATGTTTGCTGACAGTCGTCCCAGGCCAGCACTCCCAATCACCAAAGGCAAAGAACCACCGATTTTGCCACGTCTTTTGCGACGATGGTGGTTGCCCTATAAAATATCCTCTCTCCTTCGCCTTTCGATAGTTGACCTGCACCCAGCCAAAGTTGCCCTGTTGCCTGGACACTGAGTACAGATGCATGAACTGCTCAAAAGAGGGCTCCCCTTGCTTCGCCAACCACCATGCTATGTACACCCCGTGCAGTATACACCAGAAGTTGGGATTATACTGCCCAGGGGGCATAGCCCAATCTGGAAAGCATCATTTGCACCCAAGGATGCAATGGTAACCTCAATCCATGTTTGTACATGGCTAAGAACACCATAACGCCCCTCGGGAGGGTATCTTGCCGCTTCGGTAGGTATGGGCAACCTCAGCCCCACACAATCAGGTATAGCATAATCTGCCTTCAGCGACTCTAGATCATACAGACTTATCATATTTTTCTTCGGTAGTGGAACCCCTATTGGAATGCCCACATCGGCGGATGCTACTACCACCGTACCACACCCCGATGGCCCCGCTCGCCCACTTGCGCTAGCTTCTGGTGCCTGGGTTATCCCCAACACCCGGTTTGCACAAGCTTCTAGGGTCACATAGTTCCTTTGCATTTCCCTATAAGCTTCCCCCCCCAGAACTCCTCGACTGCTCTTCTCCCCCAACCCTAGTTCCCTCCACTATTAGCCCTTCAACCACACGTTCAGACCCAGTACTTTCCCCATCAGTACCCAAGTCTTCATTATGGCTACCACTCTCACACTCTTCCCCACTGAAGGCATGGGGACTTGGAGAGCTTTGACTTTCTCTTTCAGAATTATCAGACATCTACAAACACAAAAAGGGAAACTAAGGGGCATGCGAAGATTGAAAACAAGAGCCTAGGCATGTTCTTAATATGTTCATGGAAGTTCATCTACGTTCATACCAAATTCATGCAAAACTCAAGCAAAAGAGGCATTTCAATCCAGAGAGGGAGAAGGAATACAGGGCATACCTTGTTATCACCACTGTCCACTAAGGTACCTTTTCACGCCTCGCCGGAAATCGCTCTGCTGTCCCTGAACCTTATCGGAAATCGCCCTTGCTCGTCTACTAAAATCTTTCGAAAAATTCCAAATGCTCACTCCTTCAGCCCTCCATAATCTTTTAAAGGCATACAAAGGACCCCTCGATTCTTGCTCCAAGCAATAACTCATCATACCATTGGGACGCCTCGATTTCCACGAACAGACGTTTCTATACCAATGCCACATGGCACTCATGACGTCACACCTTCCCTTCGAAGGCTCCCTTCCAAAGCTTGGAAGGAGACCTCGCGACATGCGATGACGTCATACCTTCCCTTCGGAAGGCATGATGATGTCACACCTTCCCTTCGGAAGGCTCCCTTCCGAAGCTTGGAAGGAGACCTCGCGACATGCGATGACGTCACATCTTCCCTTCGGAAGGCGTGATGATGTCACACCTTCCTTTTGGAAGGCTCCCTTCCGAAGCTTGGAGGGATCCCTTGTGATGACGTCACACCTTCCCTTCGGAAGGCTCCCTTCCGAAGCTTGGAAGGAGACCTCGCGACATGCGATGACGTCACACCTTCCCTTCGGAAGGCATGCTGACGTCACACCTTCCCTTCGGAAGGCTCCTTTCCGAAGCTTGGAAGGAGACCTCGCGACTCGCAATGACGTCACACCTTCCCTTCGGAAGGTACCCGTGACGTCATACTTTCCCTTCGAAAGGCCACCTTCGGCACCCCCATGACCGAAGCCAAAAAAAAAAAAAGGGAGGTGTCTTCTAGTTTTCAAACTTGGGGGACTAGGGGACTACCTTCAATACCCGCCGCGCCGACACGCTTGGTTGAATTATACAACCTCTTCACAAGTTCCCAAACCAAAAGCCACTTCGTGATTGACAACTTAGGGGACTAAAGCGTGCCTAAAACACCAAGGTAGACGTGCCTTCCTCCCTGCCAAAGGGAGATGCTCTTTCGAAGGGACAACCACCTGCCGAAGCTCCAAACTGCCAAACCTAAACACAGGAGACACGTGTCATCATCACAGCAACATGCACAAAGTCCCACATCGGAACTTTGTGCAAACCTCCTACTTTTACTTCCCTATAAGTAGGGAATAGTAACCAAGAAAAAGGGGACTTCTCTCTCACTATTATTATTACTTTGCGATAGTCACTACCCCTAGCTGATTCAGGCATCGGAGAGCTTTCGGCCAGCACCACACTGGTGTCCGAAGCTTAACGACTGCTTCTCCTATTTTTTATCTTCTGCAGGCTAGCCCTTTACTGAAGGCCCAGACCCTTCACTTGCTAAAGACAAACCCTTATCTCTAAGTTGACCCCCTCCGAAAAAGAGCATCAACAGATTAGAATCAAGTCTTTTTCTTTTTTTTTCCTGTACTTGTATTCCTCATCTATTTTAGTTCACATGAAAAGTGGTTTCCGCAGGCAAACAAGAAACTGGACCAAACTGAATTTAGTGCTCATGCTCTCTTGTCCTTAGAGGTGCTTATGCATCCCAGGGCCTTCCGCTGACAGATTTCGCTAATGCACCTAGCCTCTCTGATGGAGTTCGCCACAAACTCCCAGAAAATATGTACTCTGATATCTAAGGCACCAAACCACATTTTCAACTGACATACAGGGAATGCGTGCACAGAGACCTTTTTGTTTATGAATCTGATCATGACGACCTATATGATAGCTGGCTTGCAAATAGTAAAGAAATGGAAGCACAAGTGAGTGACCTAGGAAAGACTATGCAGGCTGGAGAGCCATCAAAAACTACAACAGTTCATCGGGATAAAATGCTTTCTGTAGATGGTTCATTTAGTAAAGAGACTCTAGCACACTACTACATTTTACTATTTGCGCGACGAAGGAAACTTCGTCGCGCAAAAGGCACTACAGCGACGAAAAAAATTATTCGTCGCGCAAAAAACTGGAAACTTGCGCGACGAACATTTCAGTCGTGCAA